TTTCTCTTTCCCGGCCTCTCAGTAGCCAGGGCTGCATTGAAGGGCTCTGTTGCAGTAGGGTCTGGGTCCTTTGTGATCTGGGAAATGACTTGGCAAGTGGGGTCTCCTCCTCCCGTGATGGGAGTTCTGTGTGCATGGGGAAGGCTCCCTTCACTGGGCTATTTCTGAAGCTAGCCTGGCTGCTTCCCCATTTCTTGCCTGAGGGTTACCCATTCCCTCTGTGCACAAGGGGTTCCTACCCCCACTCTCTACAGAGACCTGGGAAAGGTCCCATCAGTTCCTACTCTTCAGAGGCTGACCCCAAAGCCCACTGACTCATCCTTCCTTCCCTTTCTCCCTTTCCTTCCCCAGTTCCATACGCTCCATGCAACCCACTCTTTTCACAAAATAAGGATGGAGGCCAGATTTCCTGGAGTCCATGAGTCTTTGCCTGGCCTTAGGACCTGAACCCAGTCCCATGAAGTTGGGGTGGCGGGGGGATCCAAAGCCTGCCCATGGCTGTCTCATTCTTATATGCTCCATGTCAGAGCCTCTGGGTGAAGCAGGAATCTAAGGGGGCACCTGAGCAAATCACAGAAACAATTGTTTCCTGGTGAAGTTGGCAGATCAGGTGAGGTTGTTTGCTTTTTAACTCCTGCTACATTTTAGACTCTTCTCCAAAGTTCATAGGGGGCTGTAGGAAGTGAAGGAGCCAGCTCCATGCTCCCTTGTGCTGGACAGCTGTGTATGTGTGTGTGTGTGTGTGTGTGTGCGCACGCGCATGTTTTGTTTGCCCTCCAGCAGCCCTCTGCCTCTCCAAGGGGTCCTGCTTCTGCTGGATATAGCATAGCGCTGCTGTCCTCTTGGCTGGGTTGCAGCCAAATGCCTTCTCCTTGGACCTGGTAGTATTTTTGAGGCTCCCTGTCAAGCCTAATACTCTTGTCTTGATTGTAACTGGAAAACAAGACCATTTCCTCAACTCGTACCAAGGCTGAGGGTTTGCAGTAGCTCCATTATTCTGAAGCTAGTGACAGCATATACTCTGTTCTGGAATCTCTAACTGGCAAAAGGCTTGATATATATTTGAGACATGCTGAGCTAAGCGGGGAGGAGGAACATAGGGAGAAGTAGAGTGGGTTGTGGCAGTATGCTCTGTTCCCTCCTAGCTGCTCTTAGCTGCAGACCCAGTGCCCCACTTTTCTCCAGAGCTGAGTGCTGCTTTGTGCAGGAAAGATCTTTTTCTCCAGTGGAGTTCTCTGCTACACCAGGGGGAATTGTGTCACACCCACCTTCCTCTAGGCACTAAGTTCTGTGACGCAGTGTGCATTTCTGTCCTAGGAATTAGCTTACCTGCCCTTGGAACTGAATGCCCTTCAGCACATGGTGGAAGTCTACCATGTGGAGCTGAGGGGCATGAAGCTCATGGCTTTGGATAACACAGAAGCAACAGAAGCAGCCAAGGTGAGAACCCTGACCAGGTACTGGGAATTCCTGGCTCAAAGACCCAACGTTTCTACCAGGCTACAACCAACCTGGGAATCTTGACACCCCTCCTCTGGTTAGCCCTCTTGTGATAAAGAGCAAAACAAACTTGATTTTCCTGTGCCCACTTTGCTCTACTTCTCTCTAGAGCTGCACCCCATCTGTGGGAGAACAGAGGTGGGGACAGGTTGCTGAAAGCACTAGAAGCCAGCTAGCCAGATTATGTTCAAATCCTTCATCCCATGCGATTGATTTAGCAGAGAGGCATTTGGAAAAGCAAAGTCCTGCCTCTCCCACACAGACATTAAAGCCCCTGGGACATGTTTCTGAGGGTAGGAGAGTTGATTGGGTGTCCTTGGTCAAAATTCTACTCTTTCTTGCCTTCCTTCACTGATGTGCAATGAGCCGTATGCCAACTGTCTGCCCCCGTCTGCCGTAAAGGTGGCTGCATTTTGCCAGAGCTATGACCATACAGCCAGTGAGCTCAGGAAGGGAAGGTGCTCAAGGTGATGACAATTGTTCTTTCCTCCATCTTTCTCAATGTCTGTGCTGTGTTCCAGGCAGACATGACCAGCATGGAGATGCAGCTGATTGCAGAGAAGAAGTACCGAGAAAATTCCTTAAACTTCAAAAAGAAGCAAATTGATAAGATCCGGGTCAAGGACGCAACGGCCGAAAGGCACAGAAGAGTGGTGAGACCATGGGAGTGGTGGGCACCAAAGGTGCAGTTCAACCAGTGAGCGGCCTGGCTTGGGCTCACAGAGGGGAAACCAGCCCCAGCAGGGAATGTTGGTGACCATCTTGGGGCCCCCACTGGGTGCCTTTGGTTTGACTTATGGGTTGGCTTGTGACAGTCAGCATAGAGGGCAGCCCTCTTGTCTGGGCAGTGGCTGTCAGCTTCCTAAAATAAATATGATCCAGGATTAGGTTGCCTGGCTTGTTCCATGCAAACAGTTTACCCCTCAAAATGTCTTTGTGGCAGACCAGGCGAGATATCAACATGGATTTCCCCACCCTGCTTCCTCGGGAGTCGCTGAAAGGTGAGTGTGTATTTTGGTCAGGCAGGACACTTGCCCCCGTGCACAGGAACAGGTGGCCTGTCAGCCCAGCCCTAATGGAATTGGTTCCTCTGGGAGCTGACTTCTGAGAGGTCCCACAGCACGTCCTGTCCTCCACAGTGCTGGCCACTGTCTGAGGCAGACAGAGCATTGGACTTGTTGAATGAGCAGCCCACTGGGTTTATATCTCTTCCACATGAAGGATACTCCCAGCATCCACAGACAATGAGCATAGTGTCGTGCTCCTGCATTTCCT